TTAATATAGAAAATTAGCCTTGCATGCAGTGTCTGTGGAATAAAACTGGCACCACAAATAGGTCTTCGTGTAACTGCATGCATAATGATATGCGGTATATTCATAGAGATTTAGGAAGTGCAAAGTGGTTTTGTTTGTATTTACTAACTCATTCATACTCTAAAAATAAATAATAGAGCTGAACCGATAATTTTAAAACCACATATATATCCGTATGTATATCAATACTCAATAGTTACGGTTTTGGCATGCCAGTGATGAAGGGGAATTCACAGACGTACATCTGATTCAATCGTGACACTTAAACCCAAACCTCTGATTTAACAAACATCTAAAGTTCTACTCACCACCTACAAATGATACAAACAGATTCAGTGTTCGAGACGTCGAATCTGTTTCTATCGTTTAGATAGTGAGTAAAACTTTTGCTGCTTGTTAATGCTGTTATATATGATTATACATTGTAGTTGGTAAAAGCAATTTGATTGGCTAAGAGCTTACAGTTAAATCGCGCAATCATGCAACCTACACAAAATTCAGTTATCTGCTAGCAGATAACTGAATTTTGTGTAGCTTGTGTGAGGTTGAATGAGTGTACATTTCAATTTTCAAATGAATGTACATTTCATAATATTAATGTTTACTTTAACAAGTAAATATTTTAACACGTTAACATCTTAACGATAATATGTTTCTTTTATATTTGTAATTAATTTAACTATTGGACTTCCGGAGACTTGTTTATAAAAATGTTTCACTTCAACAGCTTTGCCAGAAATCATATTGAATATAACGCTTACCGAGACCTTGATAATTTCAATAATTGTTTTATTATACATTTGAAAGGACAATGTCTAATTCATCTGACTCTATAACTGGCATATCAAATAACATAATAGTGGTTTTCGTTCGTTATTGTATTGTGAAGAGTAATACCTAAATATAGTTTTTTAACTTGTAAGCTTAGCTTGTACAGCCTAAACAATATTTAAATATATTTTGCTTACTAATACAGAATGGTGTAGTATTTGGTGAATCTTACAGTTACATGTAGATGTGCAAAAATAACATGCATTGTAATGTATTGTTAAATTAATATTAATTAACCTAGCTATGCAAATTAGTTGTCCCCTAGCTGGCGGCGCAAAGCGCCGTGCGAGGGTACTAATTCTGCATGGCTAATTATACCCGGGTGTGTGAAAACATAGCGGAGTGCAAAGTTGTCCTCCATTTTGTTTATGTCATGGACACTTTTCGACGTTATGCACATGTGCAAGTACAAACTCTGTCAAAGGAGTAATTGTTTTTCATTTTGAAAGGATATATTTTGCTGTTTTACAGCAATTTTTTGTTTTAAATTTCGTTAAAATGTTTACAAAAGTAAAACACAATTTTTTTCTCGATTTTAACTGGAAATAAGCCTGCAGTTTCATGAATTAGAACCGTGAAACAAAGTTTGTATGATAAATGTATTGATGTTGATGTCTTTGATAATTTAATCATTGTTGTGCCGGTTTGGGTAAGTGTAAACATTTCAGTAGTAAAATTCCATGCAGTACTTGCTTTGTGTTGTCAGTTTTATTCATATCTGCAAAGTTTTTAAACCATTCTTAACTCGATAATTCACTTTAATGGAAGCTGGTATGCATGAAATCGCAGTGAATATTATCGCATCAGTTGTGGTTTTATGTTTGTTTATAATGGTCTTAGTACTTTACCTGGAGTTTTTATACTTCATCTGTTTAGAAAGGCAAGGGGTTGCTGCATGCATATATTTTCTAGTATATAAGTGATCAACCAAAGATCGAGCACATATAGTATACTTTGACTTTCCTTCGAACAAGAATGCCGATAACTAACAATTACGATATCAGCTAGCAGGGACAGAGGTATTATGGGCAATATTTATGTTGTTTGTATTAGTGTATTTCGTTTGTATTAGTGCATTTCGTTTGTATTTAGTTTAGAATTATGTAGCTTATGTATGTTTATTTGTTTATTTTTAGTTTTTACGTGTCAGCCTGTTTCTGTAAATTTAGTGCTTCAAATATATATGTTAACCGAAAACAATCGTCGATGCAGTACTTTGTGTTAAAGCCTGTCCTAATCGCTGAACATTACATGCATGTTAGGAAAACTTCAGTACTCACCTATGATGCAACTGTCCATTTCAATTTCCTATATACAAAGTTAGAAACCAAAGTTAACACAACGTTTTAAGAGATCAGGAACGATAAGTTTAGCATTTTGATAGACAATTAACTTTATACTATAATTAAATTAAGACACAATGTAACACTTTCCACAACTCGGTAAACAGCATAATTAAAAATGTTTCAAAATATAGTACCACTAGTTTTTCAGCAATTTCATCAAGTCGTTTTTGTTCCTTTGTCCTATATTTAAGTGCTTCTGATTCTTTTATTCTACTTAGTCTCTCAAAACTTATTGGTTCAATAATTAATGAAGAGAGACTCCGGACATGACTTATAGCCACATATGACATTCCTAATGTAGACTCTTTCTGGCCAATATCAATCCATGCTTTTCCTAAAGTCATTCCCTGGCTTTTGTGTATGGGTAATGCCCATGCAAGAGTTAATGGTAATTGTTGTCTTTCATCAAACAATTAAGTTATCTACAGTGACAGTAACTTTACTGATAAGAATGCAAGGCTTCATGTTTGCCATGGATGGTCCAACATAGTCATCAAATTTTACAATAACAGTAACTGGCAAGTCAGGCGGCTGGTAGTTTTGCATGTATATGATATCAACAACCTTACCAGTCGAGCCATTGCATAAACCAACAGAAGGCCAGAGATTCATTGTCAACATAACTTTAGCACCTCTGCAAATGAAAAGACATGGTTGAAGCCCAAACATTTGTTGAGGACTTACATACTTTACCTTGTTACTTGAATGTCTCGCATTTATTACAGCTATAGGCTAATTCAATTGAGTTAGCTGCTCATAATTGTATTTTGCAACCTGTTTATTGCTGTAAAAAAGCTTTGTAGCAGTGTTGAATTCGTTAAGGTTTTTTACTGATGCTGGCAGTCTATCAAGTAATGCTTTCCAATTAGAAACAGTTGGCACGCAGTGCGAATTAATGGAGATGAAAACAACTCTTCATATAGGGCAGACCACCTACAACTTTGAAAAGGATCTCGCAACAGACATCTATCCACGAAAAACAGAATGTATGCCACTTACTCTTTGATTGACTGTTAACACTGGTGGTAACTGACCAGGATCTCCAATCAAAATAACAGATTTGCACACCAAAGATTTCTTTTAATCCAGTTTCTTGTCTACACCTTCTGTCAATCCACCCGATTGTAATTGTAATTGTGTTGTCAATTAAAATGTATGTAACCTGTGCTACTTTTTCTTAAGACTTTGCCCAGATAAATCTTTATGGGATGAAGCAGCTACAGGAAGATTATTCCACACTTCTATACCTTTATTAGAGAGAGTGTGTTTTGTGTAATTGGTTCTATTGCTCTTTTTGTGTAGCAATGACGAATTTCTAGTGTTATGATTATGAATTTCCTTGTTGGTTAAAAAATAGTTTGTGAATAATTCTGGTAAATTTTTCAGATGGAAATATCAGAACATAAACATACTTGTTAAATAATAATTTATTTTCTATAAACTGAGAATTTTTAGGTGATGAAAGATTCGCTCAGAATGTTCAAAATAAGATTTAAAACTCATTAATCTGACAATCTTTTGAATATTAACTAACTTTTGAATACACGATTTGTAGGTGTTACCCCAGATCAAATTGCCATAAGCTAAATATGGATAGACCAATGCATAATATATTCACTTTAAGGAGTTTAAGTTTGTAAAATGTCGAATCTTGGAAATAATTGCTATACATTTGATTTTTTTTGTGATCAAACTTAAGTGTTCACACCATGTTAAGCATTCGCCAATAACGATTCCTAAAAATGTTGTGTTTTTTACTTGTTTTATCGATTCATTGTTGATTGAAATTTTTATGTCATCTTTAAGTTTCATATTTTTTATCTAAAAAGGATAAATTTCGTTTTCTGTGTGTTAATGGATAGTTTATTAGCATTCAACCAGTCAGTAATTTTATTCATTTCGATTTGAATAATTTCGTTCAACTGTTTAAGACATGTATGACTAAAAAGAATGTTTGTGTCATCCGCAAATAATACAATTGAAATAAGTTCACTGCAAAATTGAATATCATTTATATATAGCAGAAACAATAATGGACCCAACACTGATCCCTGTGGGACACCGCTTCTAATAGTCATTACCTCCGAATGTACATCATTATATTTAACAATTTGAATTTTTCTGTGTTGGTGTTGTGTACTCAGGTGAATAATATGTTTGCGATGTTACTCTGAGTGCATATCCACACCGGGCGAGCTTGAAAAATATGCCCGGCCACGGTGGGATTCGAACTTACGACCTTTCGAATACTAGCCCAATGCTCTTCCAACTCAGCTACGTGGTCAGGACGGTTCGAGTTAGTGATCTTTCGGAACAGTATCTAGTTCCTTCAATACCAATGTGTTCTAGTAATATGAATTTTTCTGTGTTGGTGTTGTGTACTCAGGTGAATAATATGTATGCGATGTTACTCTGAGTGCATATCCACACCGGGCGAGCTTGAAAAATATGCCCGGCCACGGTGGGATTCGAACCTACGACCTTTCGAATACTAGCCCAATGCTCTTCCAACTGAGCTACGCGGTCAGGACGGTTCGAGTAAGTGATATTTCGGAATACTACCTAGTTCCTTCAATACCAATGTGTTGTAGTAATATGAATTTTTCTGTGTTGCTGTTGTGTACTCAGGTGAATAATATGTCTCCGATGTTACTCTGATTGGATATCCACACCGGGCGAGCTTGAAAAATATGCCCGGCCACGGTGGGATTCGAACCTACAACCTTTCGAATACTAGCCCAATGCTCTTCCAACTCAGCTACGTGGTCAGGACGGTTCGAGTTAGTGATCTTTCGGAACAGTATCTAGTTCCTTCAATACCAATGTGTTCTAGTAATATGAATTTTTCTGTGTTGGTGTTGTGTACTCGGGTGAATAATATGTTTGCGATGTTACTCTGAGTGCATATCCACACCGGGCGAGCTTGAAAAATATGCCCGGCCACGGTGGGATTCGAACCTACGACCTTTGGAATACTAGCCCAATGCTCTTCCGACTGAGCTACGCGGTCAGGACGGTTCGAGTAAGTGATATTTCGGAACAGTATCTAGTTCCTTCAATACCAATGTGCTCTAGTAATATGAATTTTTCTGTGTTGCTGTTGTGTACTCAGGTGAATAATATGTATGCGATGTTACTCTGAGTGCATATCCACACCGGGCGAGCTTGAAAAATATGCCCGGCCACGGTGGGATTCGAACCTACGGCCTTTCGAATACTAGCCCAATCCTCTTCCAACTGAGCTAAGCGGTAAGGACGGTTCGAGTAAGTGATATTTCGGAACAGTATCTAATTCCTTCAATAGCACTGTGTTCTAGTAATATGAATTTTTCTGTGTTGGTGTTGTGTACTCACGTGAATAATATGTTTGCGATGTTACTCTGAGTGCATATCCACACCGGGCGAGCTTGAAAAATATGCCCGGCCACGGTGGGATTCGAACCTACAACCTTTCGAATACTAGCCCAATGCTCTTCCAACTGAGCTACGCGGTCAGGACGGTTCGAGTAAGTGATATTTCGGAACAGTATCTAGTTCCTTCAATACCAATGTGTTGTTGTAATATGAATTTTTCTGTGTTGGTGTTGTGTACTCAGGTGAATAATATGTTTCCGATGTTACTCTGATTGGATATCCACACCGGGCGAGCTTGAAAAATATGCCCGGCCACGGTGGGATTCAAACCTACAACCTTTAGAATACTAGCCCAATGCTCTTCCAACTGAGCTACGCGGTCAGGGCGGTTCAAGTAAGTGATATTTCGGAACAGTATCTAGTTCCTTCAATACCAATGTGTTCTAGTAATATGAATTTTTCTGTGTTGGTGTTGTGTACTCAGGTGAATAATATGTATGCGATGTTACTCTGAGTGCATATCGACACCGGGCGAGCTTGAAAAATGTGCCCGGCCACGGTGGCAATGTGTTCTAGTAATATGAATTTTTTCTGTGTTGGTGTTGTGTACTCAGGTGAATTTAATATGTTTGCGATGTTACTTTGAGTGCATATCCACACCGGGCGAGCTTGAAAAATATGCCCGGCCAAGGTGGGATTCGAACCTACGACCTTTGGAATACTAGCCCAATGCTCTTCCAACTGAGCTACGTGCTAAGGACGGTTCGAGTAAGTGATATTTCGGAACAGTATCTAATTCCTTCAATACCAATGTGTTGTAGTAATTTGTAGTAATATGAATTTTTCTGTGTTGGTGTTGTGTACTCACGTGAATAATATGTTTGCGATGTTACTCTGATTGCATATCCACACCGGGAGAGCTTGAAAAATATGCCCGGCCACAGTGGGATTCGAACCTACGACCTTTGGAATACTAGCCCAATGCTCTTCCAGCTCAGCTACGCGGTCAGGACCGTTCGAGTAAGTGATATTTCGGAACAGTATCTAGTTCCTTCAATACCAATGTGCTCTAGTAATATGAATTTTTCTGTGTTGCTGTTGTGTACTCAGGTGAATAATATGTTTGCGATGTTACTCTGAGTGCATATCCACACCGGGCGAGCTTGAAAAATATGCCCGGCCACGGTGGGATTCGAACCTACGACCTTTGGAATACTAGCCCAATGCTCTTCCAACTCAGCTATGCGGTCAGGACTGTTCGAGTAAGTGATATTTCGGAACACTATCTAGTCCTTCAATACCAATGTGTTCTAGTAATATGAATTTTTCTGTGTTGGTGTTGTGTACTCAGGTGAATAATATGTTTGCGATGTTACTCTGATTGCATATCCACACCGGGCGAGCTTGAAAAATATGCCCGGCCACGGTGGGATTCGAACCTACGACCTTTCGAATACTAGCCCAATGCTCTTCCAACTGAGCTACGCGGTAAGGACGGTTCGAGTAAGTGATATTTCGGAACAGTATCTAATTCCTTCAATACCAATGTGTTCTAGTAATATGAATTTTTCTGTGTTGGTGTTGTGTACTCAGGTGAATAATATGTTTGCGATGTTACTCTGATTCCATATCCACACCGGGCGAGCTTGAAAAATATGCCCGGCCACGGTGGGATTCGAACCTACGACCTTTCGAATACTAGCCCAATGCTCTTCCAACTGAGCTACGCGGTCAGGACGGTTCGAGTAAGTGATATTTCGGAACCGTATCTAGTTCCTTCAATACCAATGTGTTCTTGTAATATGAATTTTTCTGTGTTGGTGTTGTGTACTCAGGTGAATAATATGTTTGCGACGTTACTCTGAGCACATATCCACATCGGGCGAGCTTGAAAAATATGCCCGGCCACGGTGGGATTCGAACCTACGACCTTTGGAATACTAGCCCAATGCTCTTCCAACTGAGCTACGCGGTCAGGACGGTTCGAGTAAGTGATATTTCGGAACAGTATCTAGTTCCTTCAATACCAATGTGTTCTAGTAATATGAAGTTTTCTGTGTTGGTGTTGTGTACTCACATGAATAATATGTTTGCGATGTTACTATGAGTGCATATCCACACCGGGCGAGCTTGAAAAATATGCCCGGTCACGGTGGGATTCGAACCTACGACCTTTGGAATACTAGCCCAATGCTCTTCCCGCTGAGCTACGCGGTCAGGACCGTTCGAGTAAGTGATATTTCGGAACAGTATCTAGTTCCTTCAATACCAATGTGCTCTAGTAATATGAATTTTTCTGTGTTGATGTTGTGTACTCAGGTGAATAATATGTTTGCGATGTTACTCTGATTGCATATCCACACCGGGCGAGCTTGAAAAATATGCCCGGTCACGGTGGGATTCGAACCTACGACCTTTGGAATACTAGCGCAATGCTCTTCCAACTGAGCTACGCGGTCAGGACGGTTCGAGTAAGTGATATTTCGGAACAGTATCTAGTTCCTTCAATACCAATGTGTTCTAGTAATATGAATTTTCTGTGTTGGTGTTGTGTACTCAGGTGAATAATATGTTTGCGATGTTACTCTGGGCGCATATCCACACCGGGCGAGCTTGAAAAATATGCCCGGTCACGGTGGGATTCGAACCTACGACCTTTGGAATACTAGCCCAATGCTCTTCCAGCTGAGCTACGCGGTCAGGACCGTTCGAGTAAGTGATATTCCGGAACAGTATCTAGTTCCTTCAATACCAATGTGTTGTAGTAATATGAATTTTTCTGTGTTGGTGTTGTGTACTCAGGTGAATAATATGTTTGCGATGTTACTCTGATTGCATATCCACACCGGGCGAGCTTGAAAAATATGCCCGGCCACGGTGGGATTAGAACCTACGACCTTTGGAATACTAGCCCAATGCTCTTCCAACTGAGCTACGCGGTCAGGACGGTTCGAGTAAGTGATATTTCGGAACAGTATCTAGTTCCTTCAATACCAATGTGTTCTAGTAATATGAAGTTTTCTGTGTTGGTGTTGTGTACTCAGGTGAATAATATGTATGCGATGTTACTCTGAGCGCATATCCACACCGGGCGAGCTTGAAAAATATGCCCTGCCACGGTGGGATTCGAACCTATGACCTTTGGAGTACTAGCCCAATGCTCTTCCAACTGAGCTACGCGATCAGGACGGTTCAAGTAAGTGATATTTCGGAACAGTATCTAGTTCCTTCAATACCAATTTGTTGTAGTAATATGAATTTTTCTGTGTTGGTGTTGTGTACTCGGGTGAATAATATGTTTGCGATGTTTCTCTGATTGCATATCCACACCGGGCGAGCTTGAAAATATGCCCGGCCACGGTGGGATTCGAACCTACGACCTTTGGAATACTAGCGCAATGCTCTTCCAACTGAGCTACGCGGTCAGGACGGTTCGAGTAAGTGATATTTCAGAACAGAATCTAGTTCCTTCGATACCAATGTATTCTAGTAATATGAATTTTTTTCTGTGTTGGTGTAGTGTACTCAGGTGAATATGATATTTGTGGTGTTACTCTGAGTGTATATCCACACCAGGCGAGCTTGAAAAATATGCCCGGCCACGGTGGGATTCGAACCTACGACCTTTGGAATACTAGCGCAATGCTCTTCCAGCTGAGCTACGCGGTCAGGACGGTTCGAGTAAGTGATATTTCGGAACAGTATCTAGTTCCTTCAATACCAATGTGTTCTAGTAATATGAAGTTTTCTGTGTTGGTGTTGTGTACTCAGGTGAATAATATGTTTCCGATGTTACTCTGATTGCATATCCACACCGGGCGAGCTTGAAAAATATGCCCGGCCACGGTGGGATTCGAACCTACGACCTTTGGAATACTAGCGCAATGCTCTTCCAACTGAGCTACGCGGTCAGGACGGTTCGAGTAAGCGATATTTCGGAACAGTATCTGGTTCCTTCAATACCAATGTGTTCTAGTAATATGAAGTTTTCTGTGTTGGTGTTGTGTACTCAGGTGAATAATATGTTTCCGATGTTACTCTGATTGGATATCCACACCGGGCGAGCTTGAAAAATATGCCCGGCCACGGTGGGATTCGAACCTACGACCTTTCGAATACTAGCCCAATGCTCTTCCAACTGAGCTACGCGGTCAGGACGGTTCGACTAAGTGACATTTCGGAACAGTATCTAGTTCCTTCAATACCAATGTGTTCTAGTATTATGAATTTTTTCTGTGTTGGTGTTGTGTACTCAGGTGAATAATATGTTTGCGATGTTACTCTGATTGCATATCCACACCGGGCGAGCTTGAAAAATATGCCCGGCCACAGTGGGATTCGAACCTACGGCCTTTCGAATACTAGCCCAATGCTCTTCCAACTGAGCTACACGGTAAGGACGGTTCGAGTAAGTGATATTTCGAAACAGTATCTAATTCCTTCAATACCAATGTGTTCTAGTAATGTGAATTTTTCTGTGTTGGTGTTGTGTACTCACATGAATAATATGTTTGCGATGTTGCTCTGAGTGCATATCCACACCGGGCGAGCTTGAAAAATATGCCCGGCCACGGTGGGATTCGAACCTACGACCTTTGGAATACTAGCGCAATGCTCTTCCAACTGACCTACGCGGTCAGGACGGTTCGAGTAAGTGATATTTCAGAACAGTATCTAGTTCCTTCAATACCAATGTGTTCTAGTAATATGAATTTTTTCTGTGTTGGTGTTGTGTACTCAGGTGAATTTAATATCTTTGCGATGTTACTCTGAGTGCATATCCACACCGGGCGAGCTTGAAAAATATGCCCGGTCACGGTGGGATTCGAACCTACGACCTTTGGAATACTAGCCCAATGCTCTTCCAACTGAGCTACGCACTAAGGACGGTTCGAGTAAGTGATATTTCGGAACACTATCTAGTTCCTTCAATACCAATGTCCTCTAGTAATATGAATTTTTCTGTGTTGGTGTTGTGTACTCAGGTGAATAATATGTTTGCGACGTTACTCTGAGTGCATATCCACACCGGGCGAGCTTGAAAAATATGCCCGGTCACGGTGGGATTCGAACCTACGACCTTTGGAATACTAGCGCAATGCTCTTCCAACTGAGCTACGCGGTCAGGACTGTTCGAGTAAGTGATATTTCGGAACAGTATCTAGTTCCTTCAATACCAATGTGTTCTAGTAATATGAAGTTTTCTGTGTTGGTGTTGTGTACTCAGGTGAATAATATGTTTCCGATGTTACTCTGATTGCATATCCACACCGGGCGAGCTTGAAAAATATGCCCGGCCACGGTGGGATTCGAACCTACGACCTTTCGAATACTAGCGCAATGCTCTTCCAACTGAGCTACGCGGTCAGGACGGTTCGAGTAAGTGATATTCCAGAACAGTATCTAGTTCCTTCAATACCAATGTGTTCTAGTAATATGAATTTTTTCTGTGTTGGTGTTGTGTACTCAGGTGAATTTAATATGTTTGCGATGTTACTCTGAGTGCATATCCACACCGGGCGAGCTTGAAAAATATGCCCGGCCACGGTGGGATTCGAACCTACGACCTTTGGAATACTAGCCAATGCTCTTCCAACTGAGCTACGCGGTCAGGACGGTTCGAGTAAGTGATATTTCGGAACAGTATCTAGTTCCTTCAATACCAATGTGCTCTAGTAATATGAATTTTTCTGTGTTGGTGTTGTGTACTCAGGTGAATAATATGTTTGCGACGTTACTCTGAGCACATATCCACACCGGGCGAGCTTGAAAAATATGCCACGCCACGGTGGGATTCGCACCTACGACCTTTGGAATACTAGCGCAATGCTCTTCCAACTGAGCTACGCGGTCAGGACGGTTCGAGTAAGTGATATTTCAGAACAGTATCTAGTTCCTTCAATACCAATGTGTTCTAGTAATATGAATTTTTTCTGTGTTGGTGTTGTGTGCTCAGGTGAATTTAATATGTTTGCGATGTTACTCTGAGTGCATATCCACACCGGGCGAGCTTGAAAAATATGCCCGGTCACGGTGGGATTCGAACCTACGACCTTTGGAATACTAGCCCAATTCTCTTCCAACTGAGCTACGCACTAAGGACGGTTCGAGTAAGTGATATTTCGGAACACTATCTAGTTCCTTCAATACCAATGTCCTCTAGTAATATGAATTTTTCTGTGTTGGTGTTGTGTACTCAGGTGAATAATATGTTTGCGACGTTACTCTGAGTGCATATCCACACCGGGCGAGCTTGAAAAATATGCCCGGCCACGGTGGGATTCGAACCTACGACCTTTGGAATACTAGCCCAATGCTCTTCCAACTGAGCTACGCGGTCAGGACGGTTCGAGTAAGTGATATTTTGGAACAGTATCTAGTTCCTTCAATACCAATGTGTTCTAGTAATATGAATTTTTTTCTGTGTTGATGTTGTGTACTCAGGTGAATAATATGTTTGCGATGTTACTCTGATTGCATATCCACACCGGGCGAGCTTGAAAAATATGCCCGGCCACGGTGGGATTCGAACCTACGACCTTTGGAATACTAGCGCAATGCTCTTCCAACTGAGCTACGCGGTCAGGACGGTTCGAGTAAGTGATATTCCAGAACAGTATCTAGTTCCTTCAATACCAATGTGTTCTAGTAATATGAATTTTTTCTGTGTTGGTGTTGTGTACTCAGGTGAATAATATGTTTGCGATGTTACTCTGATTGCATATCCACACCGGGCGAGCTTGAAAAATATGCCCGGTCACGGTGGGATTCGAACCTACGACCTTTGGAATACTAGCCCAATGCTCTTCCAACTGAGCTACGCGGTCAGGACGGTTCGAGTAAGTGATATTTTGGAACAGTATCTGGTTCCTTCAATACCAATATGTTCTAGTAATATGAATTTTTTTTTTCTCTGTGTTGGTGTTGTGTACTCAGGTGAATAATATGTTTGCCATGTTACTCTGAGTGCATATCCACACCGGGCGAGCTTGAAAAATATGCCCGGCCACGGTGGGATTCGAACCTACGACCTTTGGAATACTAGCCCAATGCTCTTTCAACTGAGCTACGCGGTCAGGACGGTTCGAGTAAGTGATATTTCGGAACAGTATCTAGTTCCTTCAATACCAATGTGTTCATGTAATATGAATTTTCTGTGTTGGTGTTGTGTACCCAGGTGAATAATAATATGTTTGCGATGTTACTCTGAGTGCATATCCACACCGGGCGAGCTTGAAAAATATGCCCGGCCACGGTGGGATTCGAACCTACGACCTTTGGAATACTAGCCCAATGCTCTTCCAACTGAGCTACGCGGTCAGGACGGTTCACGTAAGTGATATTTCGGAACAGAATCTAGTTCCTTCGATACCAATGTATTCTAGTAATATGAATTTTTTTCTGTGTTGGTGTAGTGTACTCAGGTGAATAGGATATTTGTGGTGTTACTCTGAGTGTATATCCACACCGGGCGAGCTTGAAAAATATGCCCGGCCACGGTGGGATTCGAACCTACGACCTTTGGAATACTAGCCCAATGCTCTTCCAACTGAGCTACGCGGTCAGGACGGTTCGAATAAGTGATATTTCGGAACAGTATCTAGTTCCTTCAATACCAATGTGTTCTTGTAATATGAATTTTTTCTGTGCTGGTGTTGTGTACTCAGGTGAATAATATGTTTGTGATGTTACTCTGAGTGCATATCCACACCGGGCGAGCTTAAAAAATATGCCCGGCCACGGTGGGATTCGAACCTACGACCTTTGGAATACCAGCCCAATGCTCTTCCAACTGAGCTACGCGGTCAGGACGATTCGAGTAAGTGATATTTCGGAACAGTATCTAGTTCCTTCAATACCAATGTGTTCTTGTAATATGAATTTTTTTCTGTGTTGGTGTTGTGTACTCAGGTGAATAATATGTTTGCGCTGTTACTCTGAG